CTTGCTTGTAAGTAACACTCAAAAGAGGGAGCCATTGACAGTCCTGCCAGCAAGTACTTGTTGCTGGTATTTGCTACCACTCGGACTACTTCCCAATTGCTTTCGCCTCTAGTTGAGAGCGAAATACGGGGTGAGGGCTGATTTTGAGTTTTTACGAACACACTATGGTCGATTAAACTTCTTCATTTTAACTGAAGATGCAACCCTCTTGAATGGAAACAAAACGGCGAGAACAAGACGTTTATTTGAGTCACATGCTGTTTAGTAAGATTTTGCTTTGTTTATTCCAAGCTACCTTCGGAATAGTTTTGGTATTTTTCAGGAATGGAAGAAATTTCTCGCGGAGGGACTAAGATCCGCGGTGTTGCTCCTCATGGAAAACCAAAGACTGTCCTGGAATTTGCGCCGTGTATGCGTAAAATAGTGGCACAAAGAGTAAGTCTTCTGCCATCGGAGAAATATTGCCGGAGTCGATTCGTGAACTGGTTGGACTTATTAGCACTTTTTTTCCAAAAACTCTGAAATTTAAAGTTGCGCTTTTTTTAACAGTGGTATTAATTATGACATATATAAAGTACGAAATTATATTAAAAAACTGAATAAACAGAAACGTCTTGGCCCATCAGTTCCTGAACGTTTCTACTCAGTACTGCATCTGGACTGCGTCACTATGATGATCGTGATGTTGATAAAATAAAATGAAAGGAGAAGTAACACATGCTGCTTGGCTCAAATCAGCAGCTATCTGCCGATTAGAAGCCAGTCAGTCACGGGGTTTTCTATAGTGGTAGACTGTTTCCAATATGCAAGTTTGGAATTTAAAAGCCTCTGCAAGTTGTTCGTACAACAACCGTTAGCATGGTTGTTAGCGAAGTGTTGTCGCTCCAGGCAATATCCGAGTGCCTTCGTCGTTCGTAGCGAATAGAGTAAAAAAGGCGTTTTGTTTTCAAATTGCATTATTCATGCCTATACATTTTGCTTATAGAGCAATCATGGTTCACAGCTTTTACGGTCTACAGTCCGATACTCTTTTTACTTTTCAGAAAGCGAAATCGGAGAAAGATGCTGCCGCCAAAGCGCAGTCGATGCTCTCCCCGTCATCCGGAGATGTGACTCATGCCAATGCTGGTACAGCGGTGCTGGGTCGTCGACGCACTAAGGCTGAAATAGAAGCGTTTTTCAAAAGACTTAGCACGCCGAAATCGGTGGTCACTCTCAAGAAGAAAAATGAAAGAGGAATGCGAATTTTGGCGAATCCCGTTATGGGACGATGAAAAAATAAGTGATGCTAATTTCGTTTTTTTTTTTGGCTTTTTATTTGGATATTTGTTTTTATTTTAATAGAAGTATGTTTTAAATGACTGGAAACTAACACTTTTTTTTTCGGATTCCTCTGTATGGCAGATTGGACTGAGTGACTGAAGGATAAATTCTCGTGGCCTTCAGAAAACCAAACAATTTCCTTCTCTGGCGCATCGGTTGCGGATCCTTTGTTTGGGCAGTTAGTGCTTCTGGACAAGTTAGACCAGGGCTATAAAGTAAAAACCAGTTGTTCGGTTTACACAGAAGAAGCGCCAAAAGCAATGCCACTGACTACAATGTTTTTAAGCATTTAAAAATTTTGGAAAAAAAGTTACTACGTTCGCACCCTGACGAAATCATGCTCGTGCCATGCTTGTACGGTGCTCATGCACTTATTGTTTTATCATCTCATTTCTTGTTAAAAACAACCAGTGTAATTCTGTGAAGCAGACATCTAGACAGCACAAAGAAAATTCTTCCGGGTCAGGCTATGATTGTAAGAAAATTGAAACTTTTCAAGTTTTTTGAGAATCGAAGTCGGAATTTCGGGTTCGACAGGAG